GAAACTGTAATAAATGCTGTAGTATACTTTGGTTTTTACTATAGTAAACTGCATGTGGCACATTATAGTTTGATATATCAAAGGGATTCTTAACCGGTGGGCATCAGTTATCCTGTAGGTGAGCCACAAGATCAGGGGGCTAAATTAACTTAAATATTATACTATAATTATTGGATTTTATTATTATATGCTATATCAAAATTATCGAAGTAATAGAATTTCTCATTCTCTGTGATTAATTACTTCAGACTTGTTTTAAATACAGATATAACAGTGGCTTCAACGTCCAAGATTAAAGTTATGATAACCAGTTAGCGCGTGCCTCATGTCTGCCACTTGTAGGCTACTATATCAAAGTCGCACAAGTCTGTAGATTCACAAACTATGCGTGCTCTCTTTGTGTGAACACTTTAAAATAACCGCTTACATACATTTCAAATAATCGTTCTTAGAACATTAAATATTTTGGTGGAAATTTAGGTTTTGATAACGTTGCAAGAACATTAATCTAACCATAAAAAAGTTCTAACATTGTTAAGCAAACTGGACATTTCAACATTCTTGGAACGTTCCAAATAAACGTACTTAGAACTTAATGTTTTAGTGGAAATTTAGGTTTTGAAAACGTTGTCAGAACGTTATGCTAACCATAAAAATATTTTAGGAACATCACGCAAACAGGAAATTTCAACATTCTTGGAACGTTACAGATAACGTTATGAGAACGTTCTCACAACCTAAATTTGTTAGCTGGGTGGTTGTCCAAATGAATGTTTTGCAAGTTTTTTACAACAGACGCACACCAGTTTAAGAGGATCTACCTAGACTTTGTAGTGTTTAAATTCTGAACAGCTGTTCAGTTTCTGACAGCGATCTCCAGTAATATCCAGCTGCAAACCCAACCGCCCTAGGATTGATGTGTTTTAACAGATTTAGAGTTTTTTTTACTTTATTTTACATTATTTTTAATGTACATGAACAGTGGATTAATTGATGAATACTATTCAGTCCAGTTCAAAGCAGCAGATTTTTTATTTTTTTATTTATTTATTTATTTTATTTTTTTTGCCATCTCCTGTTATCCTCTCAGGTTCATTTATTGAAGAAAAGGCCCAAATACTTTGCAGTTGTAAAGAATAACTGAAGTAAAAAATTCAGAATTTAGCTTTGAAACGGGGTGTGTTTGTTAAAAAAAATATATATGTTATTATATATTATATAGTATATTAAAATATATATGTAGATGTAGAAAAGTAAGAGAATTAAATTAGAAGGCAAATTAAATATTTTGCTAATTAATAAAGGTTTAAAATAAGCTTTTTGTCTAGACAACCAGTTTAAGAGAAAATGTCTCGAAGTGAAAAGACTGAGAACCCCTGCATATAGTTTTCGAAAACTTAGTACAACAGGGCGATGTTAAACATGCTAGTGATAGGATAAACATGATAGAAAAATGTATGCGACATATTAATTCATGCTAGCAAAACACTGCATGCCAGCACATGTGTATAAAAACATGTTAAGAACATAATATAATACCCAAATGTTAATTTTTCATTTCATTTTCTTGTCGGCTTAGTCTCTTTATTAATCCGGGGTCGCCACAGCGGAACGAACCGCCAACTTATCCAGCAAGTTTTTACGCAGCGGATGCCCTTCCAGCCGCAACACATCTCTGGGAAACATCCACACACACATTCACACACTACGGACAATTTAGCTTACCCAATTCACCTGAACCACATGTCTTTGAACTCTGGGGGAAACCGGAGCACCCGGAGGAAACCCACGCGAACGCAGGGAGAACATGCAAACTCCACACAGAAACGCCAACTGAGCCGAGGTTCGAATCAGCGACCCTGCGACCTTCTTGTTGTGAGGTGACAGCACTACCTACTGCGCGACTGCCTCGCCCTACCCAAATGTTAAGATGTTAGAAATGTGTTAGCAACATGGTAATTAATGCTAGCACATTGATAGCAAAATGTTAAACATGATAGCAACAAACATTTGGTAAAAGTTATTAGAATGTGTTAGCAACATTTTATTTCTTGCTAAAACGTTAAATTGTGCAAGCAGCAATGTGTTAATACATAAATATGTTCTTTATTTCTTTCTTTTCAATTTATCCTAAGCTAGAACTTTCTGGCAAGGCTTGTAATTTTTTTTTTTAGATCTGAATATTATTTCTGGTAATTGTGTTGTAGGCAACACAACCAGCACTTCAGGCAAAATGCACCACTTAAAAGAAGTAAAAGGAATACATTTTGAACACTGACACTTAATCACTATAGTGAAAAGCTTCAGAGACAGGACTGTGTGGGGTTGACAGTGCAAATTGTCCCTTTGACCTGATCGGCGGGCCAATTAGCAGAGAGCACAAGCTCATCTAAACTGTCTGTCTGCCCTGACGCCTTCTGCTGTGACTATAAGTTATGCCATTACCTCACAATCTTAGAAATGTTTAATCCATTAGCTGCGTCTTGTCATTATAAATGACTAGTTCCAGACTACAGTCTTTTAGCCTTTAAATCATTGAGAGAAGCTCATTGTCTTAGGTTTTCATACTGGCTGTGATGACGTGTGTTTTATAAGGTTGCTTGAATTCATCTATTGTTGGATCTGCTTCAGCAGTTGTGTATTATTCACATTTGGGATCAAGCAGCTGCTTAAAGTAACTACAAGCAGGGTTTTATTTTTTAAAAAAAAAGGTGTCCAGGGTGATGTTATGTAGTACTGATAATGTTGTTCTTGTCATCATGATGTAGAAAGTGTCAAATATCAGTTGAAGAGGAACCCTGATTTGGTTTTCATCCGAGGATGAGAAGATGCAATAAGTGATCTAGTATTCTGAAATGAACTTGATTGGTTGTTTTCTATGAGGCTGAATTTGTTCAAGTTATTTAGTTAAAATGGTTGTGTTTCAGATAGTAGGCTCATTGTCATGCATGAACTTGCTGGTTGATGGAACTTCATGCTTTGGCTTCAGATAAAATGTTTCTTTACTCTGTCATGTATTTATATGAAGCTCAATTCTTGCTTCAAATCCACCTTTCACTGACATACACAGACACGTCTACTTCAGTCTTTCTTTAGTTTGATGATGAACATGTTTCCATTCAGATCCAATAATAATCACATTTATCACTGAAGTAAACTTTGGATGAGATCTTTGTCCACACTACATTCTCCTCAGCAAAGAATAGTTAATCGTTTTGAATCTTTAGAGGTTTGTTCACTGCAAAGTTGTCTTTCAGTCCAAGTTCTTTCAAACATTGAAACGCTCTGTCTGAGGGTACAATGTTACTGAACTAAAGAGAAATTTCACCTGCAGAGTTTACTTGATTCCTCAATGAGATTCTCCATTATCCTGTCCTCTCATCCATCTCGTGCTTAGTCTTTTGTGGCAAGAGCCATTTTGGGAATTGAATAAGGGACATTGTAACAATGCAATATTTTATAAATCACAGATTTGGATCGACAAGCTTCTTTTGCCATGGCTAAAAGGCTCATGACTTTGACTTTCATCTGGACAACCTGCTGTCGAAGGGTTTAATTCAGTTTAAAATGCCTCTCCATCTTGTAAAATCAGTGAAAATTGGAAAGTTTGGCCTCCAGCAAAAGGACTAGTTCACCGTCATGTCACCGTCACCGTCATGCCATTCTAGTTGCCTGAAACTTTCATTCATCTTCAGAACACAAATTGAGATATTTTAGATAAAACCTTAGAGCGCTCTCTCATTCTCCATAGACAAAAACTGTTGTAAAATGTTCAGAAAAGTCCAGAAAAGGACCCAATATCATTGTCAAAACATTTCATGTGACTTGTGGTTCAACTGTAATCACATGAAGCTCCAAAAACACTTTTTCTACAGGCTATACAACGCTTGCTTGATGTGTTGTTGACTCTAATGGCAAAATGTCATACTGCACTGTAAAAAAAGTTGACTTAACTTAATATTTTAACTTAAAATTAACCCAAATCAGATCAAGTGCAGTACTCTGGCTGAAAGATGAGTTAATTAAAAAAAAGCTCTGTAGCAAGTTTCCCTACATCTTTCAGTTAAGTCAAATTTTCTTTCACAGTGTGCCTGTAGTAAATGCCACCCTGACCTGACATGGGAAAGAAACAAAATCTTATTTACAGTTTCAAGTGTTCTTGGAGCTTCGTATGATTACAGTCGAAACATTGAAGTCATTTGAAATGTTTTTTTGGAGTGTTTTGTACTTTTCTGAATTTTGAATATCTCACAATTATTACTGTCTATGGAGGATGACAGAGCTCTCCACTTTTATCTAAAATGTCTTTATTTTTGTTCTAAATGTTAACAAAAGGTGGATTAAAACAATATGATGGTGTGTAATCAATAATCAATAATCAATTTTTGGATGAACTAATGCTTTAATAGGGTTTGTCGGACCATTAAGAAAATAGTTTTCTATTGGATTTATTCTCAATTCTATACAGTTGTGTTTGAAAAGGAATAGTTAGTAATAATATTTTTTTGTTGATTTTTATGTGCTTTAGATTTGATATCATCAGTCTGGGGCAGTGTCTGCTTTGTAGTTTGACCCACATTGCTAATAGAATTAGCTCTTCTGTGCTCTGCAGAGTTAAAGATGTTTTTGGTCTTTAATATTCTTGGGATCAGCAGATCCTTTCTAGTACTGCAAAAATGTTCCTTTATTGTAATTTTAAATGTGCCCCAGCAGGGTCATTCTAAAATTTATGATGCAGTGAGAAACAGATTCTTGGAAATGTGTATTCAGAGAGCACTTTTATATACTCATAGGTTCTTGATTGTATTAAAAAGATCCTAATATATTTTTAAATAATTGATCAGTCCTAGGGTGCTGAACATGCTACCACTTTCAGTCTGTTTCAGTTGTCTTTCTTGTAGATGTTTCTTCATTTGACTTGTTTTTAATTGTTTTTTTTTTTATCCAACTTTCCCATTTTTAATGCTTTTTATTCTTTCCCTCTCTTTATTTTTATCCAGCTTAGGTCCCTCACATGGTGACTTCTAATTTCAAAACTTTGAACCAGAAACATGGTCATTCTGCAACAGGTAAGGTTTGCTCCTATGCTCTTGCCCAATGTTACACCTTTTTACTTGCTTAAAAGATGTTGTGATTTGGCAGTTACGACATCCCACATCATTAACACAGTTTCCGGGATAAATACAGAAAATAAAATCCAGTTTTCCACTTCAGTAGTCAACATGAATTATGCTGCTTTAAATAACGTTGTGCAATAGGCACCATGCGTTCTCAATACGTTCTTTACTGATCTGCACTGTGCTGGACTTTTGGAGGTAATGGTTAGTTGCAGAAACAAAAAAACTGTGGGCAGGTCACTGAGGTTAACATTTGAGCAGCCTAATTATCCTCACACGGAGCTGTACTCTTTATAAACAAAAATAGATGTAGTTATTTACATTTATTATTAATATTTACTCAGTTTATTTAAAAATGAATGAAGAAATATCACTACTAATTTTATTAAACTAAATAATTTACCTATTTTAAATAGTATAACACCATTATTATAATTACTATTGTTGTTGTTATAATTATTATATTATAGATGTAAAATTGATATTTTGGTGGATAACCCCAGCAAAATTCTCATTTGAGATGCTTGTCAAAAATATTTTCATTAAATATATTTTGATCATAGTATTGTGCATTCATAGTGAATATGAATATCCAGCTTTATGTGAAATATATATTCATAAATGTATAATAATCATGCTGTTTTCGTAATTTGATTATAAGACATTTTTACTCGTCTTTTAGGGGGACTATGTCTGGTTGGACCTCAGAACAGACCATGAGTTTGACGTCCCTGTTGGTGCTGTGGTCAAATTTTGTGACTCGGGTCAAATCCAGGTCTTGGATGATGAAGGAAAGGTGGGCTTTTCACTGTTTACTAATCAATAATACAACTGACATGTGCAAAACAAAAACTTAAACTATAGATTCTGCTTAACTATTAATATGAATTAATATGAATATTGAACTTTGTCTTGGTTAATTAACAATATTCTCTTAATATAGGAGCAACAGATCTCTCTTCAGAATGCAACGAACATCAAGCCCATGCACCCAACCTCCATTCACGGGGTGGAGGATATGATCCGCCTAGGGGACCTGAATGAAGCTGGGATTCTTAGAAATCTCCTGATTCGTTACAATGACAGAGTCATATATGTAAGTCTGAACATTTCTCTGTTCAATGTGTCATGTGGAATCCAATAAGGCTGCATGAGTTAGATTGGGTTAATCATCCTAATTGTTTAAAAATGTGTGCTTAATATAACATAAAACACCTATTTTACAGAGAACTAATCCAAAAATTGTATTTCTTAACATCACCTGAGATTGACAGTGGCTAATGATTTTAAAATGAATATTCAGGACATTCAAGATTTGCTTGTACAAATGTACAAAATGACTTTTTTGTGGAATTGATTGTGTTAATATTATATTTTTAAGTTTCATTACATTTATTCTTTTAGTCAATATGGTAAAATTTCAAATAAATAAAAACAAACTGGTTTAATCAGTCTAGGCTTCACTTGAAGCGTATTATCAAACTGGCGTGATCAGTCAGGGCTTAAGCATATGATCATACTGGTGTGATCAATCTAGGCTTGTCTGTGAAGTGTAAGATCAAACTGGTGGGATCAGTGTAGGCTTGTCTTAAAATGTTTTTTTTTCTCTTGAAATGTATGATCACACTGGTGTTCTCAATCTAGGCTTATTTTGAAGCATATCATCAAACTGGCGTAATCAGTCTGGGCTTAAGCATATGATCACACTAGTGTGATAAATCTAGGCTTGTCTGTGAAGCATATTATCATACTGGTGTGATCAGTCTAGGCTTGTCTTTAAATGTTTTTTTTTTTTTTGTCTTGAAATGTAGGATCACACTGGTGTGCTCAATCTAGGCTTGTCTTAAAGCATATGATCAAATGTTTTTATCAGTTTAGGCTTGTCTTGCAGAATATGATCAAACTGGTGTGATCAGTCTAAGCTTGTCTTGAAGTCTACAATTAAACTGATGTGATCATTCTAGGCTTGTCTTGAAGCGTATGGTCAAACTGGTGTTATCAGTCTAGGCTTGTCTTAAAGCATATGATTACACTGGTGTGATCAGTCTAGGCTTGTCTCAAAGCGTATGATCAAACTGGTGTTATCAGTCTAGGCTTGTCTTGAATAGTGATGGACAAAGCAAGGCTTCATGGAACACTGAAATAGTTCAAGCAAATGTGTCGAAGCTTCGAAACCCGTCTCTATACCTTGTGGTCATTTTTATGTATTGCTCTGAAACAGCTTCAGCAAAGAAACAGTTAAGCAAATTGGGTTAATAAACCCCATTTGAGGCTTCAAGTGATTTAGTGAAGCTGTATGAGTTTCTGACTAGCATGTCAAGATAATCCAGGATTTGAATCCTAGGTGATGCAGTTATGGATGTTGGCTTTTAAATGCTCTGGTCTTGTAACATTTTTTTTACATTGGCTTCACATCCGAATGAACACTGTGAATAAATATGCCTTGCTTTGGTCATAAAAAGTAACATTCAAGAGTTCACACTTAGCTCATGATTTATACATAGCTTGTTTGGCATGCTGTCCCGGGAGAGAGCCCTGAGCTCAAGGGATCCTCGAGCCCAGGGCTCCCCCCCTTTTGCAGGGCGAGTGGAGATTGAGCTCAGGTCTATCTCAAACTCCCCCGCTGCTGAGGCCAAGGCGAACTTCCTGAGAGTAAGACATTATAAAAAAGGTTTAGGCTTGTTTTATCTATAATATAGAGCACATTTGGATGGTGGGAGGAAACCGGGAAACCCACGCGGACACGGGGAGAACATGCAAACTCCACACAGAAATACCAGATGGCTCAGCGAGGACCCAACACCATTGGTATTCTTGCTGTGAGGCAACAGTGCTAGTCACTGGGCCACCGTGCCGCCCATTCTGGATAAAGGAGGAAGAAGGGGAGGAGGGGGGGTTTCTTCCAGACGAAGATAGTTGTAGAAAGGAAATGAGGATATATATAGTGGTTTAGGATCCTTTGATTGGAGGATCATAATTAGTTAATGTGGACCAGCTGGGTAAATCATGAGCACATGCTCCTCTCGAAATTAGTTTAAAACTAAACTTCACTTCAAGAGTTCACACTTAGCTCATGATTTATACATAGCTTGTTTGGCATGCTGTCCCGGGAGAGAGCCCTGAGCTCAAGGGATCCTCGAGCCCAGGGCTCCCCCCCTTTTGCAGGGCGAGTGGAGATTGAGCTCAGGTCTATCTCAAACTCCCCAAAAAGCCAATGATAAGCGCTCGGGACAGCAGCCGCGTGTTTACACAGGAACTCCCCAAAGTGCAAAGAAAAAGTGCTATATCCGGCTGCTGGATATATATGTAAAGAACTGATAAAAAGTGGGGGAAAAGCTTTCTAGGGAGTGTGTGAAGGGCAGGGTGGGCTTGGTGGCTATGAAATAACGTTAGGAAGTCTGAGGGAGTCTGAGTGGCTTAGAGGGTGGGTGGAGACTCGTGTGTAAATTGGGGCTTAAATGGGCCCTCTACGGGAGTCAGTGCTTAAGAGAAGGTTTGTGAGATGTAATAATGAAGGGTGTGGAGCTGGCTGTTTAAGAGGAGGGAAGAGATTTGGTAGCGGAAGCATAAAAAGCTGTTGGGGGTAAACAAAGGAGAGAAGCTGGAGGAAACAATGCTATATAAATTACTGTATGGAATATACAACTGCTATGCAGCAGAAGCACTCAATGTTGGCATGTTGCTAGAAACTGGCAGGGAGAAAGAGAGGGGAAGGAAGCTGGTATTAACACAGATTTAATATATTAACAATAAAATAAAAACATGAAACATTAGGGAAATACTATGCATAATAAAATGCAGTAAGCAGCGGAAGCACTTAGCGCTGGCAGAAGAAAAACAGCTGTAATTAACAAAAATATGCTATACAATTACTATGCATAATATGCAAAATAATCAATAAGAAAGATACTAATGCAGCGGGAGCCCGCAACGCTGGTAATGGGAGAGAAAAAAGGGGGGTGCTGTTGAAGTAACAAGGTTACTATGCAAAATACAGAACACGAAATGCTAATGAACTACTATGCAGAATAAACATGTCAATGCCGATACTGGTGAATAACTATAAAGAATAAATAAACTGATGCAGCGGAAACACTCGACACTGGCAGGGGAAACTGGAAGGTGAATGCGATAGGTGAGGCTCTTGCGAGAGCCGAAACTCCTATTGACTCCGGCAGGAGTCAGAGCTTAGGGTGATGTTAATGTGGAGGAAGGAGGTTGGATGGGAGTCAAAAACAATGAGTAAACAGCTGGTAGAAAACAGTAAGGCACTCAATTCTGGCAAGTGGAAAGGGGAGAGCTGCTGGGAGTAATATGATTATTATCCAGAAATACACAATATAATACATGAAATACAAATGGACTACTATGCAGAATGAACACAATGTAGACATTTATCAATAACTATATGGAAAACAAATAAACTGGTGCAGCGGAAGCACTCCACACTGGAATGGGAAAAGAAATGGGCAAGGTGGCTGGAAGTAACAGATATACTAAACAATTTTTATGCAAATGATACAATACAAGATATAACAATAAACCATTATGCAGAATAAATTAATTGGAGCTGCAAAGGTGCTTGATGCTGCAGGGCAGGTAAAAGGGGGGAGAGCAGCTGTAAGAAACACAAATATCCAACACAAGTACTATACAGAATATACAAATTATGCAATAAGATACTTAGGCAGAGGGAGCATACAACGCTGACAGGGGGGAAAGAAAAAAGGGGAGAGCTGTTGGAGATAACGAGATTACTATGCAAAATACAGAATATGATAACATGTAATGCTAATGAACTACTATACAGATTAAACAAAATGTAGAAACTGATGAATGACAATACAGAATAAATAAAATGATGCAGCATAAGCACTCATTTCTGGCAGTGGAAACAGGAAGGTGAGGGTGATAGGGGAGGCTCTTGCGAGAGCCGAAGCTCGTGTTGACCCCTGTGGGGGTTTGAGCTTTGGGTGATGCTAAGATGGAGCAAAGAGGTTAGTTGAGAGTCAAGGCAAGGAGTTAAGAGATTGGAGGGAACAGCAGAAGCGCTTATCGCTGGCAGGGCATACAGAAAGGAGAGGTTGATAGGTGAGGTTCTTATGAGAGCCACAGCTTGCGTTGACCCCTGCAGGAGTCTGAGCTTAGGGTGATGCAGATAGAGCAAGGAGGTTATGAGAGGGCCAAAGGCAAGGAGTGAAGAGCTAGGAGGAAACAGCGGAAGTACTCAACGCTGGCAGGGATAACAGAAAAGAGAGGGTGAAAGGGGAGGCTCTTGGGAGAGCCGAAACTTGTGTTGACCCCTACAGGAGTCTGAGCTTTAAGCAGATTGAGCAAGGTGGTAACAAGAGAGCCAAAGGCAAGGGGTAAAGAGCTAGGAGGGAACAGTGGAAGCACTCAACACTGGCAGGAGGAACAGAAAGGAGAGGGTGAAAGGTGAGGCTCTTGCGAGAGCCGAAGCTCGTGTTGACCCTTGCGAGAGTCTGAGCTTGGGTGATGCAGATGGAGCAAGGAGGTTACCAGAGAGCCAAAGGCAAGGGGTAAAGAGCTAGGAGGGAACAGCGGAATTACTCAACGCTGGCAGGGGGAACAGAAAGGAGAGGGTGATAGGGTAGGCTCTTGTCAGAGCCAAAGCTCATGTTGACCCCTGCGAAATCTGAGCTTAGGGTGATGCTGATGTAGCAAGGAGATTACATGAGAGTCAAAGGCAGGGAGTAAAGAACTAGGAGGAAACAGCAGAGGAACTCAATGCTGGCAGGGGGAACAGAAAGAGGGTCATGTTAAGCTCTGCGAGAGCTGAAGCTCATATTTACTCCAGCGGGAGTCTGAGCCATGAGGGGGTTTGCTAGGGATGGACAGATAGATGGCTTTGGCTTGAGAATAAAGGGGTGGCCAAGATTGGGCTGAGAGGTTTGAAAGAAACAACTTGGGTTCTTTGAGATGAAAAGACTGAGGCGAAGGTAGGATTTGAAAGGCTTCAGAGAACCAATGACCAAGGGTCTGGATCTGGTGCTGGGAAAGCCTTTTAATAATGCCAATTCTGAATGAATGGCTGGAGATTGGTTCGGGAGGAAATCCTGAGAGGTGGACAACTTT